GAACTGTTGTTGTATATATGCATTTGTCATGACAAGTTTTTTGAATATTTTCACTTCCACTGCAAAAATTCTAGTGATAGAGATGAGGCATGACCGTCATTTTTTTAAAATCACAAATTGATATGATCCCTGCATAAACCCAGAAACCGTTTGACCAGTCAAAATCAGTTGAACCGGCTAAAGAAAGGACAGAATTTTTTTTATGCATTTTATTCACTTTAAAAAAAAAATAGAAGATATTGTTAAATTTAATAATATATTACATACATGATATTATTTTCACTTTACGTAGTGTGAAAAAACTATCTAAGTTGATTACTCAACTTAGATATTCAAATTACAGCCTGAATATGAGTAACTAATAGTGATATAAACACAAACTTTTCCTCGGTACTAATGGTTTGTACTTTGTATTGATATTTTAAATATGTAATAGTAAATATCAATTATACTAAACCACATCAATTGAATCGTGAACCCGGCGGAGAGACCAATTTGTCCACCTGTCCGGTTTTTAAATCACTGATCGTCGTAATAATATCTCATGATAATCATAATCTGAGTCACATAGTAAGAAGACTAGTGATACGAAATTTTACCTGTTTGGGTCCCATATTTCGGCCCCATGAAAGACGCACTGTCTGCTGCCCAATGGTTGTCCCATTTAATCTTTGAATGGCATCCTCTGCACTGCTCCTGTTAAATGGGAAGAATAAAGGGATCACGATTATGTTATGCAACCGAAATGGAAATCACGAGAGTATTCTATCCACGATTTTCAATATATTTCAACATCTATGTGTATTCAGTAACATTAATTTCAACATCATTTTGATGACAACTTTAACACAAATGGCTAAGCTATTTATCACCAGCTAATCAAAATGTTTTTCGTTCTTAAATCCCATACACAGAATGACAAATTTGAGAGAAAGATAAAGAGAGAGAGGAGCAGGTACTGAAATTTCTTCTAACCCCATAAGACAGAATGACATAAAGCATGAAGTCTCTGATTAGGAATATACGAAATATTCAACTAATATTCAATTAGATACACAAAGAAAATTAATTATTGCCCTTCTCTTTTGTTATTTTATATTCTCTTCAAGAAATAATATTCCCATGTAATAATTTTCTGTGATGAGAAACGGGTTTTACCGGTTTGCAAACTGCACAAAACCGCACCCCCTTCCAGTTGGTATCTTCACAGACAAAACCTCACCAAATGGAGCAAAAGACTGCCTCAGATCCTCATCCGTGATATCAGCATCAAGTCCCCCAACAAATATCTAAACCAAACAATGCCCAAAAACTGAGTACGTAAATATCTCAAGTACATACAACCGTATAGCAAAAGGCAAACAAAACTCACTGTCGTGTTAGATGAATCATTATCAGACTGCCCATGCGGCATAGCGCCATTCGCATATCCACCAGATAATAAGACAGCTAAATTAATCAGAAAAATAATTAGTTAAGCTTTGTCAAACAAATTCTGACCCAATTTGTAATTTTAAAAAAAAAAAAATGATANTTTTGCCAAGAAAAAAAAAATGATGTTGATTTCGAATATTACGTAAAACTTGTGTTTTCAGGTGCAATTAGGCCAAAAACTATATCCAGTTCATCGAAACTTTTTTCCGCACCTTGCGAAGGATATTGCTGTTGTGCTGGAGGCACGGGTTTCTTGGGAGTGGCAACCCCGACTCTCATCGGCCTTGACGAGCAGTAAGCCCCGTTCATCTCACTAATGGCTCGGGACCTCTCGTTTTCATCTCCGAACCTCACAAAGCCATATCCTTTCGAGCGGCCGCTGGTGGCATCAATCACAACTTTGGCTCCTTTCACGGAAGGGTACTTGCTGGAAAACGTCTCGAGCAGAAGGGCATCAGTCACTTCAATCGCCAGGTCACCAACAAATATCGAGAGGTCCGAGCCCACATCAGGCCGCCTCTCGCCGGAACTGAAGGCGGCCCAGTTGAGGCGGAACGGTTGGTCGGCATTAGGCATTGGGGTGCCGTTGTAGCTTTGAAGGACCTTCTCAGCGGCTGCATGAGAACCGAGCTCCACAAAGCCGTACCTCTCAGATTGACCTGTTTGTTTGTTGCGGATTATCTTGACCGAGATAACCTGCTCGTTCAATGGATACAAGAATGTTAAAATTGTGGGGACAAAATTACCATTTGCAGTATGCTAACAGAGAGATAACCTACGAGCACAAGAGTGCAATTGGGTAGGATGTCCAGGGTACATAGGAGAAGTGAAATTATTTACATACTAAATATGGCAAGAAGGAGGACTATCTTCAAGGGACACCTTAAATAGAAATGTAGCTTATTTTTTTTGGATAGAGAGAATGTAATTTTTCAAACTGGACAAAAAAATTAACTATGACTGACTGCTTATATGATAATTGACACTGTTGAAGTTAAACATAGCCAGGAACATCCTTATAGGCTGCACAACACAATTATGGGTGCTTTGAATTAATGAATTTTTTGAAAGCATTTACAAAATTCAACTCCTTATAACCTAGGGACCTCTTAGGATTAGTCTACGGGTGCCAAGGAACATTCTTATACGCTGCACAGTAACTGGGAATGATGTCTGAGCATTAAAGCCATTGACATGTGTGATGTGTCACTTAGACCAATTGGTAAACTTTATAGTAATTGCAGCAATTTTTTTCTGTACTTTTTTAGCCTTTCCAGTCTACTCTGTAATCCTATCCTGCAAGCCCTGTATAACCCATTCAAAAAACAGAACAAAGATTTGAACGCCTGAGCCAAAGTGGGTACTCGAACATGCCAATTCTGTTGTAAAGTTAGTTCTTTTCTTTTTCCATCATCACATACTGAGAACTCATTGCTTTCATGGTAACACCTCAATTCAAACAAACAAACAAACAAACAAAAACGAACTCAGGTAAATTCGACTTAGTAAAGCTACTTTTCTTTTTTTTAAATTCTAAAGGCACAACAAGCAGCAATTCACAAAGCTATAAGTAAATCCAAAACGCCTAACGCACATCAAATCTCCAAAAAATATCAAAAACAAATTATACATCAAAGATTAAAAAAAGAAAAAGGAAAGAAAAAAAAAAACGCGTTACCTCTCCAGTTTGAGAAAAGCACGAATGGAGATAAACCTCATCCATCCACTGCTGTAGATCCCCGATCCAGATCGTCCTGTTATCTTCACCGGAGCTCTGAATCTGATGGCCGCCGCCGCTGCTGCTCTGCTTCGGCGCCGACTGATACTGCGGCTGCAGCTGCTGCTGCGGGTGGTAGTACGGCACGTAATGCTGATTGTACATCATGTGGTGCTGCATCGCCATGGCCGGATACTGCACCGCCATCCACTGCTGCTGGTACTGCTGCATCGCCGCCCACTGCTGCTGCTGCATCTGCTGCTGCTGATTCAAATCTCCGCCGTTCATTTCGCCGGAATCACCCCTCCGCGTATGGCTGCTTTCTCCGGTCTCCGGCGATATGTTAGGGCGGCGGCTGGTCGGTGAAGGTACCGGCACAGGTCTCTAGAGAGAGAGAGAGAAAAGAGAGAGTCTTTGTGGAGTCGGCTGGCGAATGAATAAAAAGGAAGTTTGGAGTGTGAAGGGATCTAGGGTGGATTTCAAACGTGTTGGCTTTGTGATTTGCTGATTTCGAATCTGAGCCGTGGATTGAGGGGCGGACTGGATGACGGCCGTCGATTGAGGGGGAGACCTGTCTACGCGGCGAGTGCGATGTACTGGATTGTGTCCCCTTTCCCGTTTTAGATCCAACGGCTGGATTTTGGTGGTGAGAACAAGCGCGTCTTTTGTTTGACGGTTGCTCTTTTTCGGGTTTTTTTGGTTTTTCGGGTAAAGTTTTATGCTTGAACAAATGAGTGATTGGAGAAAAATATAGCAAAAACAAGAAAATGAACTCTATGTAAATGGGATTAAAATTCAGTAACTATTATTCTTTTTGACTTTCGGTCTATAAAGCACATGAAGCAGTGGCATCTTTTGTGATTAAATAGTTCTAGTGTTGAAAAATAATAAAAATACTTATATGATAATATCAAAATCGTTCACATATTTACCGTTGCACATTAAATTGTGTTAATCAACCATGTATTAATTAAAAATTCATAAAGATTCATCTATCACCGTGTGGCAGAAAAATAAAATAGCTCAATTTGTATATGTGTTCATTTACAAAAATATGTCGGCTCATCTAAAATTAATTAAGAAAAAAGTTGGTACTTATAATGACTATTGAGATCAAAGCTCATGATTAATTTAATTCAGAACGCAAACAAATATTGTATTACTAATCTTAGTATAATTAGAACAATATAAATTTTGTATGAAGCGCTCCAATTGTTGAGCGGGTTAATCAATCATATATTTGCAACAAAAAGTATATGGTTACGTTATAAAATGTCATTATTTTTTTAGTTGTATTTTATTAGTGATTGAATATACTTAGGCGTGATAAATATATTAGTATTATTTTTTGAAAATTGCAATAAATATTCCAAAATGCTGTTGACATTAATATTCAGTCATCTATTCAAAAGGGGCTGAAAAATCCTTAGCTTGAAACCAGGTAAGCCACGTTTACAACTGTCGTCCTCTCAATTTGCACACCAAACATGGGAAACATGTTTATTTGTATTGTCCCCCTATGATTTAATTTCGATCTTCACGTAACAAGAGATTTTCCATTAAATATTGCATAATTTTGCTAATTTTTATCCGTATAAAAAGATTCGTTTTACTTCATTCGTTGAGATGATGAGAGATTAATTAAACACATGATGATATTTTATATAAAATTTGAATTTGTGTGGGTGATGGGTCATGATGTATGAGTATAAAGGTTGGTTGAAATTTTTCTTTTTAAGTCTTAATAAAATGGTGAATAAGAAATTGATAAAGATACGTGACTATTCATTGGGAGCTCTTTTTGTCAAAATGTTTCTTCACTATTTTGAGTGTAGCTAACATATAAGCTTGTTTCTTTGGGATGTAGAATTCCTTTTATGCTTTTATTGATCAAGTTACATGATCATCAACAAAGTACAACAATAGAATTGAGGGCATTTCCAATCTTTATTTCTATTCTAGTTTAGAGTTTAATCTATACTTATATTAAAATGTATATCATTACCAGATTTAGTATAAAGAAAAGTCAAAAACATTTATTGCATTACTATTTCCGTATTATACAATCTATACTTATATAAAAGGAGATTCTATTTACTACATTTACTATCCAGAAAAGTCAACTGCATTAAATGTCATTACTATTTTGGTATTATAATATTTTATTTATTTAATTGATTTATTTATTTATTTTATTTTGAAAAGGTAAGTATAATAAAAAGTTTAATCATAAAAAAATCAAATACTAAATAAAAATATACACTTTGACTTATTTGACTATAATTGGTATTTGATTATACCAAATATATTCTATTTAGTATATACATTAAATACTTACTAAAGTATTTATTTGTTTTATTTGTGAAAATTAAGTATAGATTTGTTTATATTATCAAATCATAAAAAAATATTAAATCCATATTGTAAAAAAAAAAAATCATATAATTTTATAACAATTCTACTACACTATTTAACAATGTTTCTTTTTTATTATATAATATAATAATAATTAAATATTATATGGTGAACAATAATAAGTAAAACTGTTACTTTCTCTTATATTAAGGGATAAATTTATATGCTAAAATTAAATTTTTATTAGTATAAATGTTTTAGTGAGATAATATATTAATTGTTTTACAAGCTAGCCCTAACATGCTCATATTTAATGTTTTAAAAGATGTAGGAAAAAAACTTATAATAACTCTATTGTTTTTTAGACTTAAACGTTGATTAAAAGAGGTAAAAATTCCTAATTTTTTAGACTTAAACGTTGATTAACACCATAGATTGAGAGTTTATATTTAGTAAAATTCCTAATTGTAATAAAAAAATTAATTTTTGCTATATCTTAGAATATCTTTAAATTCATTATAAAAAAAAAAAAAGAAAAAAAACTACAATGAGAAAAGCAAGTCAACTATATATCGAATTGTTTTACTCCTCAAACCACATTCACAATTTGGCTACAAGGAAATGAAACTCATTGATTAAAATATTATTTTGTCAGTAGTCTTAATGTACAAGAGACTTTAAGACTCCACTTGAATATTATAAAACTTTTATTGAACATTGTACAATTTTCTTGCGTATTATAAACTTTTATTGAATATTGCATCTTATAATATAATATTCTCCAAATAAATATATCTCGTGCTTTGCACGGGTCACGTCCCGTACATTTTTCTTTATTCATGTATACGGGCTCTGTACTAGTTTATTCTAAAGTAGAGTGATGTTTCACCTCCAATCATTATGCTACATTTTACTCTACATAATTTTTTTTTTCTCATTATTTACTAATATAAATAAATTAGATATATTCTTTTACACGTGTTTAATTGTTAGAATATCACTTGTGAGTTGTCCCACATCGTTCATATATGGAAAATAGGCCCACCTTATAAGACTAATGGGCTACTCCTCCTTCCACCAATTGGTTTTGGGATGGACCCCATTTGGGCTTCATATGGGCTTTTCCCTTCTTTCATGGTGTCCTTCATGGTAGTGGGCCAGCACCCATTTCCCCCCAGTTTCTGTCATGGTATCAGAGCCGGTTCAATCTTGGACCGTGTGATGACGTACCCATTGTTTATTCCCCCACGTACCCGTTTATGGGAGCCTGTTTGTAGTAGGGTTTGGGGCACCCAACCCAGTTGGGTTTGGGCTTTCGAAGGACTCACAAGTGAAGGGGCGTGTTAGAATATCACTTGTGAGTTGGGTTTGGGCTTTCGAAGGACTCACAAGTGAAGGGGCGTGTTAGAATATCACTTGTGAGTTGTCCCACATCGTTCATATATGGAAAATAGACCCACCTTATAAGACTAATGGGCTACTCCTCCTTCCACTAATTGGTTTTGGGATGGAACCTCATTTGGGCTTCATATGGACTTTTTTCCTTTCTTTCATGGTGTCCTTCATGGTAGTGGGCCAACACCCATTTTCCCCCAATTTCTGTCATTAATTATTTAAATTATCATTATACAATTAATATAAATATAAATAAATATAGCAATATTTATGAAAAGGTTATTTTATTTACTAAATCATGTAACTAGTAACTGATATTTACTAAAATATTAACTAAGTTGAAAGAAAAAGTTCACTTTCCAATCTAAGTGGTAGAAAGCAATTTTCTTATTTTATTCACATTCATATGATTCTTCCAATATTAATATTACATATTTTATTTCTATGATAAATAATTTTGTTTAGTGAAGATGTGTATTATGTAGTAATATATAATAGGTTAATTGGGTGTTATATCACTTTTAATAAATTATTTTTGCAATATTAAATATATTTTATGATAAATTAAAATACTTTGTCAAAATATTATACTAAAATGTATAAAAGTATATATAAAAAAAATCATGAACCGGTCCGGTCCGATTTTTCAAACCATGATATATTGCTATAATTTCGAAAGAAGTGAAAACTTACAAAAAAATAAA